CAAATGCCTTTTTCTGTTACTGAGTGCAGCATAAACTGCAAGTTTCTTAAAAGGCAAAGCAATTCTCCGGTATAACACAAAGCAAGGGGGCTGGATCATTTATTCCGATGCCTTTCTCAGCACCACACTAAGCCTATATGGCCAGATTGTTTGCTTCTAAGAAATTGAGTCAGGCAGCCAAAGTACATACATACTTTTGTTGTGGGGCTAGTTTGACCCATACAAATAAATATTATTCTTTGTTATTAAAGGTTTGTTTTTAAAAATCCATTCATGTTAAGTAGGGCTTCAAGAATACTTGACACTAAATGTAAACTACCAATTTATATCTAGAATTCATATAGAACAAAGCATAGTGATGTATATATGGACTCTATGGTATTGAACTTAAAATCACTCATATTTCCATTTAAATTCATATTGCCTTGCATTAACCTGTGACTAGATGATAGTGGTCCTTTTTTTAACTTAATGCAAAAGTACTCCACTCAAAGTATTCTAAGCAGTAAAAAAACCCTTCTCTTACATGTTTAAAAACGTGCAGCAGTGAGTAAATTAACCTTTAAAGCACGGTTTCCTGCCTGGAGTTTGTGCTGATTCTAAACAGATCCATAAAGTGCAGTTCTGAGGAGGGGGTATCGCCTGAAAATACTCCAGATTGTTAGAAGTGCACACTGGAAATAAACTTCCTAGCCAAGCTGCAGCCTCTGCAACCCATAGCAGTTGGCTATAATCTGAAATAGAAGTTACATGGCTGTGCGATGTATATAACTATGGCCATTGTAAAATGTAGGTTACACACGTTTTTAATGCCTGATACATTATTAATATTTAGGAGCAAGTGCACTTTAGCAATAAACAGTTTTACCACACCCAACTTTATTTTTTATGGTCTGCCAGCATTGCAGGCAGTGAGCTAATAAATGTAAGTTTTACTGGTGGTTTCCTTACATACTTAAGGGATACCTATTGTATTTCATTATAATGCATTGTAAAACAATTTTATGGTTGAAAATTGTTTATAGTAAATATAGAAAAAATGCCCCACACACGTTTAATCTGTGATATTATAATTTTTTTTTAGTTGTATCCAGCATGCGCTGGTAAGCATCTGGGAGACGGGCGCCTTCATTTTTTATTTGATTTTTATTGATTTATGTTTTAGGTCAGCAATTTGTAATAAGTGTCTGGTTTACTGAGACGCCGGGACGGATCCCGACATGGGGGAATCCCTGCACGGAGCCGTGAGTGACGGTCACGGCTCACTGCACGGATAGATCGAGAAGTGGGCGAGCGACTGTATATGTTCGCTCACTTCCCAATCTATTGAGCTGACCTGTGAGAGTTTCATTGTCACAGGTCGGCTCGAACTATGAGGCTGAGTGATTTTCACTCACCTCATAGTTCTCCTTATGTTTATAAATCTGTGAAAGCAATTGATTTTGCTATTGTATTTCAGGATATTATGTAGCGTGGGGGGGGGGGGCAACAACCCATCAATCATGGTCTACCTGACCATCACGACCAACCCCACCATCTCCTTACCCCACCGTGCCACCCACTTTGTGCATGACAACACCCTGGCCACTCACCTTGCAGCTCATAGGCCTAAGCCAGCGGACCCACCTGTCTTTTCTCATGCATGCCTATTGTTGCAAGTGTTGAGCATATTGTGGTTTGCAGGAGCGGAAAGTGAGTGACGGGGTCTGCTGTAGCAGGAAAGGTGGGCATTGTGAGCATTAGGTTACTGCAGGGCCAAGAAGGGAGCCTGTAGGGCTGCAGGAAAGTAAAATACACACAGGTCTACTCCAGGTCATACACACAAGTGGCCACCATCTGACATCCTAAATTTTCTTTAAACCTTCCTTACTTTTTAATGGGTCCTTACCTATGTTATCTTCTGCACCCTTATGAAATTTTCCTTGCTTTTTTGGTAGATCTGCTTTCCACGGGTGCCTACCCCTGGTTTATCTTTACCCTGAGGCCTTGTACATACGAGCTCCATTATATAAAAGAGCAATGTGTACACTAATCTTAACAAAACATTTGCAAAGCTTTTAGCCAGCTTCAAGCAGCTTTGGTGTATCCTTTATCTTAATACTGAAACTGAAGTTTGCTTTAAACACAGATTGTAAAGGGAGTGCTAAATGTTGCATTAACACTGTGTTCTTACACAAGCTGCTGGCGCCAATATGTACATAAATTTGTGAAAACTGAAAAGTTGTCAACACTGCAAAGAAATGCAAAAAAAGCATAAAGACTGATAAGCTTGCAAGCAAATTTCCATCCTTAAAGTGCATCCATGCCCAACTATGAACATTAAACTATTTTTGCTTATTCTAAACAAGCAGTAGGAAGAGCTTTATAACAAGCCCTCACTCAGCTCTCCAGCTCTTTGTAATGTGATGTAATAGTCATGAGCTCAGCAAAGACTTTGATGCTGATGTGCGTTTACATCAGAGAGCTGGAAGGTTGTTGAGATCTGCTCTCAGGAAAAGCTAAGTTCTGTTCTGAACTTGGAAAATGAATTTCTGCACAATGTGTATAATATGTTAATATTTTAGTGTGCATAGTCTGGGCACAGATCCACTTTAAAGTGACCTTATCGCAGATATTAAAATAAAGCAGTTCCATGTAAAGAAGAGTACAAATACGTCCCTGCCGAATGCCACTCCATTGAAGAATTTTCTGTTCTGTAAGAGTGGAACAACATAGCACTGCAGATCGACAATCCTGAAGTGTCTTTCCCAGCAGACTTTCAGAGGCACTTCCTCTTCACCACAATGGCTTATTGTGACTCAGTTGATAGGACAAGTAAACATTTACACCCTTGTTTACATGGGTGCTCCCTCATTTCAGTTGTGAGATCGCCATCAGGATTGCTGTAAAGGGATGTAAAGTCATTTTGGACAAATTCTCCCCATTATGGTCATTCTTTTGTTTGTTTTTTTTAGTCTGGTAGATATGTAATGTTCTAATTAGCTCTCCTGAGGAGGCTTTGCCACCGGATGACTTTGAAAGCTAGTACGTGTTGTCTGTAGACAAACTGGTTTCTCCACTCATTCAGTAACTAGCCTGGTCTAACAAAGTCAGTTTTCCTCTTGAGGTCTGTAGACCTTTTTTAGACTTATTAAATCTTGATATTCTCCTACACTTATAGATGGTACCTATGTTACCCATAAATGTTCTGTGTAAAGCTACCTAGATATATATGGCCCTTTTCAGATTGGCAAAGTGTTTGACCTGCATGCAATGATCTTTAATTTGAAGGTTAATTGTGAGGGCTAATGACCCATGTTCAATCCATGTTCACTTGAAATCCATCATTTTGAGTTGGTTCAGTTGATAGCCAAGCACAATTCAGCCTTGTCAGCTGGTTGGGGCTATGCATTAACAGCAGTATAGTAAAAATCATAATGATTGGTACCTCAAGAACCATCTTTTATGCAATCGGTGCAAGTTTTCCCATGTTTCCTTTGTGAATAATAAAATGTTTGAAGCGCCATGTAATGCTGTTTAAAAATAAATGTGAGTCAACGATTGATCGTTAATGCATTCTTAAAGCATAAGTCATGACACAGCACATTGATTTAAAAGTCTTTCTTCTTTATATATTTACGAGTGTATGCAGTTATCTCCGTTATTGTTTAATCCTGAGTCCAGGAGACCTTGTATTACTAATGAAGTAGTAAGCACAAGCAAGGCAGCAACTAGTGGCAAACTTGAATAGGTTTTGTCTTATTTGCTTTACCTTCTCTGTGCCAACATTTCTGGAAAGCATTGTGAAAGGAACTTGACTGAATTTCATGATTTTGTGAACTTGGGCCAAAATTCTCTTAAACCAATTCATTTTTACAACTTTTTGGGAGTATGTATAGATTACCATTTTTGGATATACATTTAAATGCCGATCTCATCAGTGTACGCAGACATTGTTTTTATTAGAGCTTTTTGTATATGTACTTGTCTGAAGTACTGTGCACTTTTGCTCCTTATTTTCACATTCTGCAGCACACTATGTGCTTCACTGTTCTCTCTGGTAGTTTTACCATCTGCTCAACTTAATGCTGTAACTTGCTACATCTCAGTAGTGATTTTCATAGCCTGACAGGCAGATGCTACTAGAGGAAGATTGTCCAAATCTATATGAAACCACATGTTTAAAATATATTATAGGTCAGGGGTAGCCAAACTCCGGCCCTCCAGCTGTGGTGAAACTACAGATCCCATGATGCATCTCTCTCCGAGAGTCATGTCTGTGGCTGTGAGAATCTTGCAATGCCTCATGGGATTTGTAGTTCCAGGACAGCTGGAGCGCCAGAGTTTGGCTACCCCTGCTATAGGTGCATTATAAATCAAGATATTTCTCTTTATTATTCCTCTATAGCTGATGGTACATTGCTCTGTACAATATACTGTACAGCAGAATGTACCATCAGCTATAGAGGAATACAAATCCCAGCAATATATTATAGGAGCACCATGTGGGGGAGTGCAGGCTCACCTGAGCAGTCTTCCAGCAACTTACTTCTTCTACCCACGTCCCTGTGCCGATCGTGGGCGGGCGGTGAGCGTGAGGCAGGGATGAGGTGCTGCGTGTGGAGCGTGGAAGCGGCCGGGCCTGGCAGCGAGTGTGAGGTGGGGAGGAGGTGTGGCGCGCAGCGTGTGTGGAGCCGTGAACAGGGCCAACCAATCAGAAGCCGATTAATCGATTATTGAAAAAGTTGACAACTTTTTCAATCATCGATTATAATCGATTATGTCGATTAGTTGTTGCAGCCCTAATTGGCTTCTTACTATTTATTGCGACAGCACCCTTCTGTCAAGATGGCCAAAGACCTGAAACAATTTTCTGTTGAAGTCAGTTTAATTGATCTTGCAG